TGGGCTCAGCTCCATGGGCACCCAGGTCCCAGGGGGAGGATGAAGAAAACGTGGAGAATTTTTAGAGAAAAAACAAAGGATGAATATGGCAGAAGGGCTGGAGAACGAGGACCTGGCTGTATGGTCCTGGATGTGCAATTATTTAGTCTGGAGAAGAGCTGAATGTGGGATTGGTCAGATCAAGCGAGCTCTTGGGCCAAACCTATTTTAGATGTCAGGGGAACAAAGGTGAACGTTTCAGGGTCCCTCGCCTTAAGGGAAGAGAGACAGGGACACAGACAAAGGCTCTTCTGCAGAGAGGGGAGATATTATTGGTGGCTCCAGCTGGTGAAGGTCACAGTCCAGCGTGATCCGGAACACACAACGTTGTGCGCTGACATCGAGTTGTCAACTTTTTATTTATTCAAGTCAAGAAGACATTTAAAAACTCAAACTTACCTTCTACTGTCGTTATCATTCTAGAAAACAGGAGACTTTCCATCACCCTGAAAACCAGAAGGCCCGAATCTCAGGCCGTGTGGCCACCTCGGCTCCGAGCCCTGAGCCTGTGGCATCGTTGGGGCAATTAACCCCGGGGCTGCGGGAGCCTCACCTGTTAGCCCCGCGCGGCCCTCCGCAGCGTCCCGGCCGCCTAATTAACAGAACAGGGACGGCCTCACGGAGGCAGGTGACTCCTGACTTAATGCAGTGGTTTGATTTGATTTGTGACCTTTACTCCCCATTTTAAGCGGAAGAATGAACGGCTATAATTGTGTTCTGTGTTATTTTTTTCTGTATTTAACCTTCAATATTACCTCCAGGTGAAGCCTGATCCTCCCAGGGCCCCCGGAGAGGGCCACCTTGTTTACACATTTCATTCTCAGTCCCCCTCCCTTCCCAAGCTGACATTTTCAGTTAAAATGGAAGAGGGGGGGAAAGTGTAGGCACTTTTTTAAGATTATTCATTTTTTTTTTTTTTATTCTGAGCTGAAGACCTTCCCTCTTGTATCAGAGGAAACAGCTATCTGACGGGAACTATCTCCAAACTCTGGCTTCGTTTCCTGTAAGCAAATGCCAGGGGCATTGGGGTCGCCGCCCCACCGTGGGGGGCAGGGCAGGGCAGGGACTGACTCCGATCAGGGTGGGCAAGGCCGGGATTGGAATAAGTTCCTCTCGCCAATGACCAGGAACCCAATTCTAGCCAATGGGATTTGAGGTTTTCACTGGCAGCTTCTGGGAAAGTTCTCGCTCACTCCTAAGACAGCAACAGTTTCTTTCTCCTTCTGAATGTAAGTGGAGGCGCCTAGTGCTCCGCATGCCCTGCCATCTGTCCCATAACCAGAGGGGCCACTTGTGGGATGGAGCCACTGATGAAGATGGTGGAAAACAGACAGATGGGAAGACTGGATTTTGGTGACATCACTGGGCTGCCCGGTCACCAGCCCTGATGCCCAGACCTCCTCAAGTTTTGTGTCCTGTGGGCCAGTGACTTCCTCATGTTTCAGCCAGTTTGTGCTGGGTTTTGTTTCTTGCAGCCTCAACCTCCTAACTGATACCACAGCCCCTTGTTTGACTCGAACAGGCGCGCTTTCTTTTGCCTTCTGTGAATTCCTCCGCCACCTGCCTCTTCCTACCTCCTCTGGGGACATGTGTGTGTGCATGTGCACACAGACCTGATGACAGAAATTGATGAATGAATTGCTCCTTCTCCTTCTTGAGTCTCCCAATTTCTTCTCTCTCTTATTTGGGTTGTCTGAGCTCACATCCTCCAAGACCCAATTCATATGTCACCTTCTCTGAAGAGACTTCCTAACAGTGTGAGGGGGACTGCTCACACTCTCTTTTATGCCTCCACTGGCCCTTGGTTAAGTGTGTGTGTGTGTGTGTGTGTGTGTGTGTGTGTGTGCATGCGGAGGAGGGGTGTCCAGCCAGGTAGCTTCAAAAGGATCAGTATTAGACATGGTTTCAGCTGTGTGTGACAGAGACCTAATACCATGGCTTAGGCATGACAGGTCTCTATTTCTCACCATGTTAAAGTCTGAGCAGGGTTGGGGTTCTGCTCCGGGAAGTCATCAGGGTACAAGCGCCTTCTCTCTCATGGCTCGACGATCCCTCGTGTGTTGCACTGGTGGGGCAAGACAGCTGACACCAGGTCCTCATTCTGGCCAGCAGGAGGGGGAAAGAGAATGCGGAGGACCTGCCCCTTCCATGTAAGGACATGACCTCACTTCTGCTCACATCCCATTGCCTAGAACTTAACAACATAGCCTCAGCTAGCTGCAAAGGAGCCTGGGAAATGTAGCCTTTCTATTCACTTATCACGCATGCAGCTAAGAGTTTGATTACAGTGGAAGGAGGAGGGTTAGGTACAGGGAGACCACACTCTGTCTCTGCAAACGTCATTGGCATCAGTGTCAGAGAGATTCTAGTGAAGGCAGGTTTCCACGTATGACTCCTTACCCAACAGGTCAAATGCAACGTAGGTCCATTCCCACCAAAGGAGAGGCCCAGTAGGATGGGAAATTCCTTGCTGGTGCCAACCTAGTGACAGATTTTGCATCAGGCACAAGCAAGGCACAGGGCAACCTCCCGCCACACCCTCTGGCCTGAGACTCGTTAGTGACACCTGTCTGGAGGTGGCATCTCGGGACACCAAAATTCTGAAACCAAAATAGCGCATGGCACCGTCCTATTTGCTGTGCACGAGGAATTTCTTTCATTATCTACATTTTTTATAAGTCTAACATGACTCCACTCCCCTAACAATACTTGCCTGGTTTGGTAAATCACAGAACAAAGCAGAGATGAAAATATCTCAACGCGAGCGATGTCCTGTTGGTAGCAAAACCTGAACAAGAACTTGCAGATACATTCTGAGTGAGTCTTTGTTGCTATGTCTGCAAAGAACCCCACTCTCCTCAGCACAGCTGAGGGCTGATGCCCTCCAGCTTGGGGCATCGAAACTGTGTTGAAGTAAGGACAGCGCCAAATGAGCTGTAATAGTCTGCCTAGTGCACGCGGTAAGTTGCTTATTTCAACCACAAAGGAAAGCTACGCTATTCTTATGAATAAAAGAAGAGAGAATTCCTTTGACTTCTCTAACTGTTAAACAAATATTTAAAATGTGTTGCTTTGAACGGGGGTGGCAAATAATTAATGAGCCTACTCCCAGCTGAGCCACGGCCTTCACTGGATCCGAGAGACGCTGGGCTCGCACTTGTTGTTAAAACTCTCTGTTCCTGGAGTGGACCCCGAGAGGCTTGAGGTCAAAATGTGCCTTAAATTTCAATGTTCCAGGCCGGGTGCGGTGGCTGACGCCTGTAATCCTAGCACTCTGGGAGGCCGGGGCGGGCGGATCATTTGAGTTCAGGAGTTCGAGACCAGTCTGAGCAAGAGTGAGACCCCGTCTCTACTAAAAATAGAAAGAAATTAATTGGCCAACTAAACATGTAGAAAAAATTAGCTGGGCATGGTGGTGCATGCCTGTAGTCCCAGCTACTCGGGAGGCTGAGGCAGAAGGATTGCTTGAGCCCAGGAGTTTGAGGTTGCTGCGAACTAGGCTGATCCCACGGCACTCACTCTAGCCTGGGTAACAGTTGAGACTCTGTCTCAAAAAAAAAATCTCAATGTTCCCGGATATTGGGGGCTATGTGTGAGGCCCTGAGAAGGCTTCCTTGGCAGTGACTTCTCATCTATGACCATTTTTTTACCACTTCTTTCCAAGAGGAGAGCTGAACCAGGCCTGGTGCTCTCACTGGTGGGAATGCAATCGTATTCTTATTCCTGACCTGCTCTCGTGGAGAGGGGGCAGGGCGTGCCGGGCCAACTCTGGACTTAGGTGTGAGAAGTGACTATGGACAGCTCCCAGGAGCACAGATGTACCGCCTCTACCAGTGAGGACCCAGGGGGCCAGATTAGGGCTGAAAAAGGGGCTTTGGGGGTTGCTCAAAAAGGTAAGCATAGAATTGCTGTGTGACCCTGCAATTCCACTCCTAAGTACAAGCCCTGAAGGCTTGAAAACAAGTGTTTGAACACAAACGTGTACCCCCATGCCCACAGCAGCACCATTCACAGCAGTCAAAAGGTGGAAACGACCCGATGTCCATCAACTGATGACTGCATACACGAGCTGCGTATATCCACCCGATGGACCACCATCTGCTGCAGGGATGAATGAAGTCCTGACACGTGCTATGGCACATGGACCTTGAGAACATCATGCTGAGTGAGAGAGCCAGACACAAAGATCATGTGTGGTGTGGTTCTATTTACATAAATGTCCAGAAGAGGCAAATCCATAGAGACAAGAAGGAGATTACCGTTTCCAGGGCCCGGGAGAACAGAGTAGGAGGAGTGAATGCTTAATGGGTATAGGGTTTCCTTCAGGGGTGAAGAAAGGTCTGGAACCCGATAGAGTTGATTGATGCACAGAATTAGGAATGTACTATTAATAAATGCCATTGAATTGTGCACTTTAAAAATGGTTCCTCTTATGTGAATTTCATCTCGAAAAATAAAAATTAAATTAAAAAAGTGGCGGGAGGCGGTTGCAGAAAGAGAAAGAAGGGCTGTAGGAAAGGTCTCTGGTTTATTTATTCAGTGCGTCTTTACTGAGCACCCAGCATGTGCCAGGCTCTGTACTGGTGACAGGATTCCAGTGCTTTTTGAGGCAGTGGCGTTAGCGGACCACTGGGAATGAAGCCAGCGCACAGGTGCTTCAGGTGGGGACTTGCAGAGAGGTTATGGAATCACCAGGTGAGAGGGATAAGAGAATGCAGGTGGCACCAGACAGGGCGAGGGAGGATGTGCATGTCAACATGGTGGGTTCTGAGGACCCCCCAAGATGGAGAGAAAGGACCTCAGAGAGGAGGAGAGTGGAGGAGCCGGATGGGGAGGGGTTTATTCAGAGAGTTACACCTTGAAGAGCCAGCTGAACCCTGCCTATGACATGCCAGTGGGCTTATCTCAGGGGGTTTCTTAGTCCATTTTCTGCTGCTATAAAAAATACCAGTGATAGGGCATTTTATAAAGAGGAGAGATTTATTTCTCAGAGTTCTCGGGGCTGGGAAGTGCAGTGGAAGGTGCCAGCATCTCTGAGGGCCTTCTTGCTGCATGGTGGGAGGCAAGATGGCAGGAGAGGGGGTGAGAGGGGGCCACACTTGCTTTTGTAACAAGCCCACTCCCATGACAGCGACATTCATCAATTTATGAAGGTGGAGCCCCCCATCAGGCCCCACCTCCCAACACTGGTGCGCTGGGGACTAGGTTTGCAACTCGTGGGCTTTGGAGACACATTCAGACCACAGCATGGGGTTACTGTTTTGGATAATGAGGCCAGAAGCTGGCACTCCCGGCTCTATGGATTCCTGCCCCAGGGGAGGTGGCCCTGAAGGATGTTGAACATCAAATGCTTACAACTGCTCTAAGCCCTGTTGGGTTCCCTTACTGTCTGCCAGCCATGCCTCTTTTCCTAAATTATCCAGGCGAGGGGCACCTGGCAATTTGTAACCACTCCTATCAGATCACTGAGACCCAAATTAAGCCCAAAGGTTTGAAGAATGTCACGATAGTTTTGATGTCTCCCTGCTACCACTCTGCTGGCCAACGGCGTTGGCATATGTGACTCCATTCTGTCCAAAACTAATTCGGTGCTTAAGAACACGAGCACTTTCCAAAGACCATCTGTTTACTCTTCTGCTTAAGGAACTCCACTCTCCCTCAGCCTCCTAGGATTGGATTCAATAAACCCTGACATGAAGGGATGTTTTTTTTGGCGCACCCAGAAATTGAATGTTTTCCAAGTGGTACATTATTGATATTAAAACCGATTTGTGCATCACCACCCATCAAAGAAATGTATTAAATAATATCTCCAGGAATGAAAAGAAAATTGAAAAGCCTGTCCACATGCATTTATCAGCAAAAACACTAGCCTCAACTATAAAATTCAGCAAGTGAGAAATCTGTGGATCCCTACAAACAAAGAAAAGCTCCTCAGATAGATTCAGAATTACGTCTGCTTCAATCCGTTTGGAAGCACCTGACCTAAAACAAGCTTTCCCCATGGCTTCTCCCTGCTGCCGGTCTGCAGCCAGCATGGATTCAGAAGGGGAGGACTTAGGGGTGAAAGAGATTTGGGTTCGAATCCCTGTCCCCACCTCCTGTTTCTATAAACACAGAAGCTGGGTGTGACCTTGTACAAGTTATCCAAACTCCCCAAAAGCTTAGTTTCCCTGTTAGTACAATGCCCTTCTCATTAGATTCGGGTGCCTAATAAATGACACGGCACACAGTAGGTCTGTGCTTCTTCCTTCCCTTTCCTTTTCCCCCTGCCGCGCTGTGCTCCCCCGGGGCAGGTGTGCGTACTGAGGACGTCTGTGCTGGTCCGTCAGTTCATCCTGTCCCGCCTGGGGTTGGTTTGCTTGCTGCCTGTTTGCTGACTCAAAGAGTGTAGTTTTCTAATGCAGAACACTAACCAGAGTGGTGGATATTTAATCAACGTTTTGTTGAATGCATGAGGATCCCATACAATATCATTCCGTGAGTAACTTAAGTAAAGCAGTGACATAAATATTTAAAGACTCGTTGAGAAGGCAGCTGTAGATCTGTATCGATTGCTGCTGCCTGTTTTACAGAAGGTTCTAAACTTCTATAGATCATCACAATGAAGGGCGACAGATCTCCCTGTGACTTGAAGGCAGGCCTGCTGTCCACTGGTCAGGGGAATGGGTCATCTCCTTTCCCACCAGTGGGGCTTCCAGGCTGGTTGGGGGTTTTGGTGAGCTTCCAGGGGTGGATGACAGCAGCAAAGTTCTTCTGAAATTTCTAATAGAATTTAAATATCAGGACAGTGATATTCATGCCGGAATCACATCAAATGTTTGGCTTAAGTTTTATCTTTAGACTATTTTTGTGACGAGTGTTTTAGGGCCATATTTTTTTTTTTTTTCAAATATCATGTCCATTCAAATGTGGGATAGTTCCATTTTAACCAGCTGGGGCTACCAGCCCAGTCACTTGGCCTGACCTTTGAATAAGGCTTCCAGGGTCATCCATGTGCATAGGTGTGAACTTCCAATAAATATGTCTTGTAAGGGACACTGTGACTGTACACTGATCTTTTTCTTAATTTAGGTGTGTACGGTGAATCACAGAGCCCATGTTGTACCCAGTTAATGGGCTAGGCAAATTCAAGTGCATCTGCCTGGCACCTATTCCCATAGTAAAACTTGGTCCAATGATAATGCATCTTATGATGATGGCTTTAGAACTTGTGAACTTTGAGTGTTTATTGTCTGACTTGTATTTGATAAAGCATGGAGACAGCTGAAATGATAAAAACATACATCATCTAAAGAAAAACAGAGGGGAATATCTTCATAATCACAGGTGAGGCAAAGATATCTACATACACCCATAAATACTGTCCACAGAGGAAAAAGTTGCCAGATTTCACTTCGTTAAAATCAAGAACTTCTGCTCATCTGAATACAATATTAAAGGAGTGAAAAAACAAACCAAAGACTGGCGAAGATATTGGCAACACACGTATCTGACAAAGGACTTGTATCCAGAAATACATCAGGAGCTCATATAGCCAACAAGGAAAAGAAAACCCAATAAAAATAGACAAAAGACTTGAGCCGGTGCTTCATAAAAAAAGGAAATTCAAATGGCAAATAAACATGGGAGGAGATGCTCAGCATCACTACTCACCAGGGAGTGCAAATCGCAATTATAATTAGACACCACTGCATGCTCCCAAAATGGCTGAAAGAAAAGACTTTTAAACGCAGTGGTGGTGCAGATGCAGGGCCAGGAGAGTGCTCATGCATTGCTGCAGGGAGAGGCTCCTTGTGTAATCTCTGCAGAAAACCGTTTGGCGGTGTAGACTCAAGCTGAGCAAGCGTAGCCCCTCTGACCCAGCAGATAGGTTCCTAGGTACGCGCCCAAGAGACAAACGTTCTCATGACCCCCAAACCGATGTCCAAACCTGCCCACACCGGCTTTATGTAAAACTGGAGACAACCCAAAATGCCCACCAAGACGAGAATGGATCAATACACCATGGCATGTTCATGCAATGGAATACTCCGCAGAAATAAACAAAGATTAAACTGCCGCCAATGGTCAATATCTTGGATGAATCTCACAGACACAATGAAGAGTGAAAAAAGCCAGACAGAAAAGAGAATGCACCATGCGGCCATCTATAAGATGTTTAAGAATAGGTAAAACTGGCCGGGTGCGGTGGCTCACGCCTGTAATCCTAGCACTCTGGGAGGCCGAGACGGGTGGATTGCTCAAGGTCAGGAGTTCGAAACCAGCTCTGAGCAAGAGCGAGACCTCGTCTCTACCATAAATAGAAAGAAATTAATTGGCCAACTAATATATATAGAAAAAATTAGCCAGGCATGGTGGAGCATGCCTGTAGTCCCAGCTACTCAGGAGGTTGAGGCAGGAGGATCGCTTGAGCCCAGGAGTTTGAGGTTGCTGTGAGCTAGGCTGATGCCAAGGCACTCACTCTAGCCTGGGCAACAAGTGAGACTCTGTCTCAAAAAAAAGAATAGGTAAAACCAATCTATAAGGAAAGAAGTCAGAATGGTGATCACATGTGTGAGTGTGAGTAGAGAGGGGTGTGGGAATGTTCTGGGTGCTCTAAATGTCCTATTTCTTGATCAGAGTGACTAGGGTGGTGATTATTTGAGTGCACACCTACGTAAAAATCTATCGACAGAACATTGAAGATTTGCACACTTTGTTATATGTATGTAACATTGCAATAAAAATGGAAAAATAATGGGAGATAGTGTGTGCTACCAGACATTTAGCAACCAGCTCTCCAGGGAAAACTCCGCCGCCGCCCCCCACCCCTTCTAGTGTTTGCTAATTTCCACTCTCACCGTGGCTGGTTTCAAGCTACAGTGGTTTAAGAACCGACATGCCAAATCCCTGACAATTGGGCACCCAGTTCTCACAAACTGTTGAGCTGTGGTTCGGGATACCACTGGGGCACACAACTGTATTACGCTTGTGTTGGCTCGAATTGGACATAAAACTGACCCACTCCTCTTTTAAGCTTTTGAAATCAGCTAGGCAGGAGAACATCTAGAGGTATTCATGTAAACTACTTAGAAGTGTTACCATTTGGAACTACTTACCTGTTAGAATCAAGATCCTCTTGCTATTAAAAATCCAAAATCACATAAATGAATTGATTACTGATGCTAAAATTGCAAGTTTCACCCATAACTCCTGGCCTTAATTTTTGTGTGATTATTATAAAGCTTTGCTATTTCTGTTTTATAAGGGAATGTTATAAAAATTAAATTTATAAAATATCTATCTTATATATTAAGGTATGATCTGTTCAAGACTCTAAGTTATAAAAGAAATCCTAAAAAAAAAGGGAATATTTTTACATGTATAACTGGGAATTCCTGAGGGGTGATCAGGAATGGCTGGATCCAGGGGTTCCAATAATGTCATCAGAGTTTTGTCATTTTTGTCATCTCTCAGCTTGTTTTTTTCTAGCTATTTTTATTTCAAGTGAGTTCTTTCCATGTGGCGAATGGCAACTGGTAGCCACACTGGCATTGTTCTCACAGCTTCTGATCCCAAAGAGAGAAAGTTTGGGAAAGACTCTAATTGGCCTGACTTGGGTCAAGTGTCCCCCTCGGAAGCAAGCAGCATGGCTAGGGCATAGGATCCTGTAACGCACGGGGCTGGGATGTGTCCATTCTGGGGCTGGGGTGGGTGTGAGTGGACAAGGCCAGCCCTGGAATCACATGGATGGTGCAGGCTGTCGGTGGAATGGCAGAAAGGTGGCCTTTCCGCCCCGTGGCAGAGAGAGGTCCATGTCTGCACTTCCCACCCAGGCAATTAGAGACCATGACTTCCCACCCGCACGGCGCTTTGCACGTAGCAGACGCCCTACACGTGTGTGCTGGAGAAATGAATGAATGGAAGCTGGCGCTGGTCAAGAGAACCAGTGGATGCCTTTGTGATATAAGGATAAATTAGTGATGGGAAGTTTTCATCCTGAAACAGTAAATCATGAGCAAGAACTGTATGTATTAAATGGATACATCTCAAAAATGTAATTGTAGTAAAAAAATAAATAAAAGTTGGAGAATGAGGAATATTCCATGATATCATTTACATACATTTTTAAAGGCACAGAATGCTTTCTATAGACATGCCTGTAAAATATTACCTAAGATGCAAGGATAAGCATAACCTATGGGGAAGTCTCTTTTGGGGAGGAGGGAAGGGCATCTGGAAGAGTTGAAGGTCAAAAGAATTTAGCTTTATCCAGAAGTTTGTAATATTTTTAAAAGGATAATGGGTTCATATGGGGTGTATAATCTTCAAAGATACTAAACATATGCCAAAAACTGGGAGCAAATATAGCAAAATGTGAATAGTAGTTAATTCTGCATGCTGGGAATATGGGTGGTAATTATTATTATTTTTTTTACTTTTACATTCAGTTTTTTAGATTATTAAATTCATTATAATTTTAATTAAAATGAATTATATCATATTAGCCAAATGAACAGTTTCTGCACAGGTAAAATGGGCACATTATACAAACTCAAATGTTTATTTAGCGGGAGGATCCTCTTCCCCTCCCACCCCCAGCCGTCTGGAGCCTCTCCCTGCAGTTAACAATTGTTACCAGTTTCTTAAGACTTTTTCCAGAGATAGAGTCTAAGTTTGTACATACAGATGTTTTTCATGAATGTTAGCGCTCTATATACACTTTTCAATACCTTATTCTTTAAAACTTGACAGAACGTTTTCAAGACAGTTCCATCTCTCTCTCTATATATATAGACTCTTCACTTTTTATAAAAAAGTTGCATAGTAATTCCATTTTACAGATACACAGTAATTTCTTTAGCCAGTTCCCTATAGATGGACACCGAGTTTGCTATTACAAACAGTGTCTCAACAAGTACCACTGTCCATGCATCTTTTTGCATGTGTATGAGAAAATCTGTAGGATAAATTATTATAGACAAAACTGCTAAGTCAAGGGTTATGTGCATTTTTTAAGATTTTGATTTATATCACCAAATTGTCTTCCACAGAGACTGTTCCAATCTACACCCTCCATCAATGTGTGAGAAACTGTGTTCATTATCAATATAAGTGCAAACGGTTTTGCTTTATAAGAATTAAAACATAATAGAACAAAATTCAAACTTATCCATTAGTTTTGAGTCTCAGGAATTACAGAAACCTCTAAGAATCATGTGCATCTGTTTTTAGAATTGGCAAGCATTAACAGGCAGAAGAGAGGGCATATTTCAGTAAATATTACAGCTGATAATAAATTTTGTTCTTCTTGGGCTTTAGTCCCAACAAAATAAGTACCTGCAATGCTAAAATTTTATATATTTTAAAGCCACTGTATGTGGCATAATATAAACATTCTATAACCTGCCCAATCTCTGTTAGCTTATTTTAAAAATCCTTTCCCCTCTTATAATTGTCTTGCTTAATATGCTGTATTTTAATTATCTGATTTACAGGGTTTGGAAAGACCTAAAAAAATTGGCATGCATCAAAACATTAACAACCTATTTAACAGTATTTTTTTAATAACCAAAGGCCTGGAGGATAAATGTATCCTGTTTATGTTACACATATGATTTCCTAAACGTGTTTGTTTCTGCTCTGTCACAAGCATCCCCACTGTCTCAACTGATGGATTTCTATTTTAATTAGCCTTAAATTCCAGGAGAGTAATCTTAATGTATTAGATGACCTTGGCAGTTGACCAATAATAAACAATGAGCCCAGTTTTTCTCAGAGCGAAGCTGACAGCCACACACTGGCCTCTGAGGACTCAGCCTGGGCCGAACTGTCACGTACCCAGCCTGGCCAGTAAAACTTCCTGCTGGCACTTTCTTCGAAACTACTTTTATTCATTTTCCATTTACAGTGGAAAAAGATGCAAGAAAAAGGAAAAAGAAAACAAGCAGGGCAGAGAAAATTTTTCACTTGCAATGGATATCAAATCCCAGCAAGTTATTTTGTGGATATTGACCAACGGATTATGAAGTTTATAGGGAGAAGCAAAAGACCCAGAATAGCCAACACGATATTGAAGGAGAACAAAATTGGAGGATGGACGCTACCTGACTTCAAGACTTGATATAAAGCCACAGTAATCCAGACAGTGTGGTACTGGTGACAGAGGAAACAAATAGGTCAATGGAACAGAGTAGAGAGCATAGAAATAGACCCATGGGGATACAGTCAACTGATCTTTGACAAAGGAGCAAAGGCAATACAATGGCAGAAAGATAGTGTTTTCTGGAGCAACTGAACATCCATATGCAAAAAAAAAAAAAAAATAGAATCTAGACACTTGCAGTGGACAGACCCAGCTTATTAGGTATCACTGGGGAGGAATGTTGGATAGGACACCAGAGCAGGGCTACCAAGGGGAGTGAGGACTTTTTTCCTGAAATGTAAGAATAAGAAATCCTGCCTGATTAGAAAAGTCAGCACAGCCTGTGATGGTTCCCGAGATGCTGGGATTCTACAGTATTTTTTGCCCTCTGCCTAGGCTGTCTCTGCTGTCCTTTCCTTCTCATGCCCAGGGTGATGCAAAACAATAAAAACATGTCTGGGTTTATTACACCCACCTGAGGCCCCTGCTCCGAGCAAATAGGAGTGCAGAATAAATACGCATTGGCTTTGTCCAGGCTCATTAACAGTGGCTTCCAAAAAATATATTTTGCCTCTTGGAGCAGAGGAAAATCAATGATAATCTTAGGTTTATGTGAAGGTCAGTGGGTTCAGCATTTAGCATCTCTTATCCTCAGGTTTTAAAGGAAGCTATGAAGGAGCATTATTTCTGACAATCCTGCATGGGAAACGTCTTGACTGAGATTCTTGGACTTAATAAAAGATTTATGGTAGAAATTCTGCAAGTAATATCTTGTTAAAATAACTTCTGTGCTAACCTCAAGTGACAAGTGATTGCTCAAACTTGTTCCTGCGGCTCCCGGGTCTTCTCTTTAATCTTTTATTAGCTCTCTTCTCCAAACTTGAAATATAAGGGACGGCAATTGTTTGGGTCCATTATCTTTGATTTGAATGTCTCTTTGCAGTATTCGGATATGTGTTTTCTTTTTCTGAATTACAAATGAAGTAAATGTCACCATTTGATGGTAATGGATGGCATTTAAATACACACTGAATGTCGCATTGCTTAAAAGTCAAGACCCTTGTAAGCAATATTAAGTGATAGGCGGGGAGTGTTTTCTGGGATAGAGAAGACGGGTGGGGAGAGTTCATAGCACTGATAGCGAGAGCCAGAGGCCCTGCCTGCCCTTGGCTCTCTCTAGAGTTTTAAACTGAAAATAAAGAAAAGCATAAGGGTGTGTGTTTGTGTGTGTGCGTGTGCACACACACAAAGACTGAATAATTCAGAAAAAAAAAAAGCCAAAATCATCTTACAATCTGGTGATTAGGGCAGATGATCCTGGCTATCTGTTGTTACGGACTGAATTGTGTCCCCCAAAGTCATAGGTGGAAGCCCTAAACTCTAAGGTGATTGTATTTGGAGACAGGGTCTATCAGGAGATAATGATGAAATTAGGATGAAATGAGATTATAAGGGTGGGGTTCTAATCCAATAGAGTTGGTGACCTTACAAGAGAAGGGAGAGATACTGGGAGGGTGCACACAGACAAGAGGGTAAGTGAGCACACAGTGACGTGGCTCACGGTGGCGTGGCTCACGGTGGCGTGGCTCACGGTGGCGTGGCTCACGGTGGCGTGGCCCACAGTGACGTGGCATCATTTGCCAAGGCAAGGAGAGGGGCCCCAGGAAAAACCAAACCTGCCAGCACCTTGTTCTTGGACTTTCAGCCTCTCTAACTATGACGAAATACATTTCTGTGGCTTAAGTCTCCCCATCCCGCATGTTGTTATGGCAGCCCTGGCGGATTAACACACCTCAGTTCCCGTCCTCCTGGCTGGTGGGATCCATCAGCTATTCCAGGCGGAAGATGATGGCCGCCTGCTTTCCCAGCCTCCCCCGCGGTGCGGGCATGGCCACGTGACCCCGTCCCAGCCAGTGAGACAAAGGGATGTGCCCCGGGGGCTTCTGGGAAAGAAGAAAGAGGCAGGCATCTGAGAGAGCCTCTCGCCCTTTTCTTCCTGCTCCTGGGTGTCACCACTTGAGGAGGAGGAGCCGCGAGCTGCTGCAGCGTCTTCAAACCCTTGGGAAAGGCATGGAGGAGCCCCGAACCTGCGAACTCCACACAGACAGTGGCCCCGGCCGGGAATGCACTGATTTTTCCTCATTGATGTTTCAACAAAACAACGTTAAATGAAACCACTGTTGTTTAATACGAATGGATTAAATTCCACCTTTAAAAACAGAGGTGGTCATAGTAGGTGCTAAAAGCCAAAGCTAGTTAAATGTAATTTATACATATTTAAAGGTAAGTGATACCTTACCTTTAAAAAGAAAAAGATGGAAAATAATGGGTGAGTAAAGTGATGCTAAACAAATGCAACTGAAAGGAAAGCTTCAATATCAAAATCAAATCAAAATATCAATTCAATATCAAAATATCAAAATCAGGTACAGTAGAATTTAAAGTAAAAACAATGAACAAATTATTAGGGAAAGTATACAGTGATGAAAACATAATTTATGAATAAGTTATAACCATCAAAAATGTACATGTACCAAATAAATTATACCTAAATGAAAATGAAATGCAAGGAGAGCCTGCTAAAAATACAATTATAGTGGAAGATTTGAATATATTTATCTCAGAATTAGATAGATCTAGTATAACAGATAAAAATAAGTGAGGATATAAGAGAATAAAATACCATGTTAAGAAACTTAATGTATATAGAAACTTACACAACTCAAAGAGATGAGATATTTTTTTTTGTCTCAAGTATTTACAGAAATTGTGCTTAAGTTGGTCATAAAGGAAAGCATATTCCCCAGTCCAGAAACATTAGGAATAACAAATCATAAAAGGGCAATAAATTAATTTTAACTTCTAAGAAATTAAGCAATGCACCCCTAATACAATGTTGTAACAAAAAAGACAAAGAGACCTTATCTATAAAAGCAAACAAATAAACAAAGAATACAAAGAGAGGAGAACCCTTCATCCCAAACCTATGGGACACAGAGAATAGTGTACTTAAAATTTTAGAGCTTTAAGTGCCTTCTATAGTAAAAAAATGAAAACAATAAAAGTGTTAAATATTCATCTTGAGAAAGTAGGAGAACAAAATAAACAAAAAGAAATGAAGAGGAAAGAATTAATAAAGACAAAACCTGAAATTAATGGGATGAAAAACAAAAATCAGTGCAAGGAATAGATAAATCTAATTGTCCATTGCAAATATCAATAAAATAGTCAAATCTCATGTTACCCCAATTTAAGATAAGATGAAACAAAATATGCAAGAGTAAGAATGAGAATGGGGACATAATTTGAGATAAATGAATTTTAAATATCACAAATAGTATAATAGGATATTACATGCAACTCTATGGCAACAGATACAAATACAAAATAAACTGGGTTTCCTAGTAAAATACAACTTACTAAAACTGAGCAAAGAAGAAATGAAAAGTTCAAAGAACCAGTTACCACAGAAGAATTTGGAAAAGTATTTAAAGATCTATCATTAAAAAACAAAAGAACAACAGCAGGGTTAGAAGATTTAAGCTGAGTTTTATCTAGTTAAAAACAAGTAATTCCAATGTTATTTAATCTAAGCTTTAGAATAAGGCAAAATAATTTGTTGCTTAAATCTGATATATGGCAACAAAGATAGCAGCAAAATTTATTAAAAAGATTTTACTTATAAATACTGTTGCAAAAAAGTTACATAAAATATTAGGAAATAGAATTACTTATATGTGCCAAGCATGGTGGCTCATACCTGTAATTCCACTTTGGGAGACTGAGGCAGGAGGATTGCTTGAGACCAGGAGTTTGAGACCTGCCTGCACAACATAGTGAGATCCTGTCTCTACAAAAAATTTTAAAAAGTTGCTGGGCATGGTGGTGTGTACCTGTAGTTCCAGCTACTTGGGAGGCTGAGGCAGGGGATTGCTGAGCCCAGGAGTTTGAGGGTACAGTGAGCTATGACTGTACTCCAGCCTGGATGACAGAGTGAGATGTTGTCTCTAAAAAATAAATAAATAAATAAATAAATAATAAATAAAATGGGGAGAAAAAAAGACACATATGTAACAAAAAATTTTACTGTGTGCCTATGTAAGGTTTTCTCTAGGAATAACAGTGGTTTAATTTGGGGAAATATTTTACTGCAATCCATTACATAAAAAATTAAAAGAGAAAAACCGCAAGACCACACCAGAAAAATGGTAAAAACTGTTGATCTCTGCTGATGATATTATAATCAAAAAACAAAAGAGTCTCCAGTTAAAAAAAATGCAGTAGTCCCTCAGTATCCTGGAGGGATTTGTTCAAGGCCCTCTGCAGGTACCCAAATCTGCAATGCTCTGGTCCCTTATGTAAAATGAAGTAGTGTTTGCATATAATCTACACACATTCTCCTGTATACTTTAAATCATCTCTAGATTACTTATAATACCTAATACACTATAAATGCTATGTAAATAGTTGTTATACTTCATTGTTTTTAAAATTTGTATTATATTTATTGTTATATTGTTATTTTTTATTGTTTTTTAAAAGGATATTTTCTATCCAAGATTGGAAGAGCCTGTGGACGTGAAGCACTGGCTGTACTTTATTTTAAATAGAATTTGGGAAGGTGGGTGGTTTTAGATAAATATACAAAAAATAACTTTTGTCTATTCTAGCAATAAACACCTTGAAATAAGATGTGAAGAATATTTAAAAGAAAACAATGGGAAAACCTGTAAAATGTAAATAAATTTAATAAAAAAAGACTCTTGACCTAAAAGAACCATAAAATTTTATGGAAAGACATAAAAAGTCTGAACGAAAGGAAAGAGCTATTACAATTTTGGATGAAAAGACTTTATATTATAAACATATCAATGCTATATAAATTGCCATATAAATTTAATGGAAAACTGAGAAGTTTTCTTAAAGATACACTCTTAAAATTTCTATGGAGGAGTAATCTGCATAGTAGCTGAGAACACATGAGAGACCAAGCTTGCTGAGGAACTCGGCTCACCTGAGACTCACCTGGTCTCAGACTGCGCTGTCAAAGTGCTACAGTAGAACCCGTAAGGTATTTGTATAAGACTAGGCAAGTAGATCAGTGGAACACAATAGTGAGTCTGCAATTAGATTCAGGAGAGAGAATTTAACATATGTCAAAAGTGACGGCTCAGAAGAAATTATTCAATGTATTTTGCTGGCATAATTCACCATACATCTAGGGGGAAAAAAAGTGAATACCTATTTTGTACCCTACTCAAGAACAAATCACAGCTGTATTATGGAACCAGATACAAGAAGCAAAATCTGGCAGAGTCCATGTACAGTTTAGGAGAGCTCCTTTGCCAGGCTAACAATGCAGACGCTTTCAAAGAAAAGATAGATATACTTGAATATACAGAAATTAAAACCCTTTGTATGGTGAATGATATTAAAAACAAACTTAAACAATAGATTTGAAAAATATTTAATAGAGATGACAAAGGTTATCTCTGTCTATTATATACAAAGAGCTCTTACAAATTGACAATAAAAAGCTGATAGAAGCAGCCCAATAGAAAAATGGATAAAGGATGTGAAAAGGCAGTTCACAAAAGAGCAAATCAGGAAAGCCAGCAAGCTTGAAGTATGAAAAGAGCCTTAAATTTACTAGCAGTAAAGGAATTGCAAATTAAAGTAACAATGTCATAATACTTACACCTATCAGAGTGTTTAAAATTAAAATAATTCAACACTTGTGAAAGACAGTGTCTATTCCCTTACATGTGTATATGTCAGTGTGTACATACGTGTGCATATTTATATTTGTATACAACTGTGTGAGCATGGAGAATTAAGAAAGTCTTCATTCTAGGTTACTATTAATAGCACAGGTTATTTTTGTGGTGTTGCGGAGCTGATATGAGGTGAGAAGGAACAGGAGAGGGACAAGAGCCAGGAAACAAACAGAAACAAACAATTAGATGGTGTTTTAAAAAGCACCAATGATATGAGTATTTTTATGCGTTTATGTGAAATTATATATATGGGCATATACATAGATAGATATTTTTACATAGAAAACATTCCTCTTGGAATATTGAAGCCATTGGTCTATTGTCTCCCTGCCTACCATTTTATTATAAATTAAAAAACAAGAAAAATTGACATAATGGTACAGTAAATATTTGGATATCCTTTATGTAGATTCAACCATTGACAACAGGTTGATATATTTGCTTTACCTACAGGTGTGCCTGCCTGTATGTGTAATGTACATATCTGTATTCAAACACATATTTGTTTTCTGGACTATTTGAAAGTTGCAGGTAAAATGATACTTTATCCCTAAATACTTCAGCGTGTATCTCCTAAAAATAAGGACATTTCCCCAGTATAACCACAATACTACTAGCAGGCATAAGAGAATTAACACAAATTTCGTCATGTCATCTAACGTCCTTTCCAGTTTTCCCCAGTTGTTCCAATGTTCTATGTTCATTGCTTTTCTTTTTGGAACCAGGATCTGGTCAGGTTTCATGCATTGCATTGTGCTGTCATTCCTTTTCAGGTTCTTGACATCTAATTTTTTTTCATATTAATCTTTGGAAGAGTGTGTTGACTGTCTTGCATAGCACGGACTCATCTCCCCTGGTCTCCTGTGAATGCATACTTATATCCAGAGTTGCCTGGAGCAGAGATCCTTGCTCAAAACTACAGATAGCACTAAATTCCCTGATTTTTTCCTGCCTGTTTTTCAGTGGCACCCTCAGTCCTGCACAGCGTTTCCTGTTCGTGGGCGACCAGGGAGCAGCTCGCCCCTCGCAGGGCTCCCACCCCTTCCTGCTGCACTCGTGGCTGCTCCCTAGCTGGGCGCTGCAGTTCCCACTTCCCCATCTGTTCTCTCTCCTCCATAAATTCCATCCAAGTCTGGGCTAAGCAGAGGCAAAAGCTAATGAGCTACCACTTTATTAGGAAGCGAATCCCAGGTAGGAGAAGGGGCGTGACCCAGGGGAGCAGGACGAGCCGCACAGGGTGCTCTGGCCCTAGAGGTACATCGGATTGCCTGGTTGTGCAGGCCCATCCCCAGAGTGGTACCCAGGGGACATTAACCTCCCCACACTACCGTGAGCCCTGTGGGTCTGCAGCATCTGCCCCCAACCCCCTGCCCCCGCCTCGGCATCCAAGACACAAGGCTTGAGCAGGTCCTGCCTGCTGGAGGTCACTGGGGCCCTCCCAAGGCTGGGTGCTGTCATGGCTGGAACAAGAAGTGAGGCTGCAAAGTGTCCCATGCGTGACTCTGGCTGAGGGCCTACCTCTCCTTTGCTCCCTTTGTTATTATCCACTTGCACCTTTTGTTGTTGTTGTTGTTGTTTACCATCATTTTGAG